CCCCCCCCCCCCCCAGTTTGTTTGGCAAACAAAGCCAGGCGGGCAATATTGACTTATTGTAAAAATAAATGGACAAATTCTGTCAATTTTGATGGAAATTCCGAAAAAGTCGGGCATATTTCTTTCCGCCCCCCCCTAATTTTTTCCTTCCCGTACGCCCATGACCATGACAGTTGATTGTCGCCAGGGTTAGACGTTAACAAGATCATGTTAGGGTTGGTTTTTATAAAGCATATTATATAAAATGGAAATTCCACTTACGCAGTCGAGATCTTGCCACCAGTTTCTTGCGCTAGTCTAAAAACGCAATGAACTTTGACCCGGCGCGTTGCCGACGCGAAAAAATATAATACAACAATCAATTTTAATATACCTATTGCGGCAGCTGCCCCGGCTTCAGCTATTAAATTATGACCACAAGCATGTCCAATTTTCGGTAATGCATCATATTCACATAGTACTGCCACACATGGCCCGTTGTCTTGCTGCGTTGTCTTGTTCGAGGCGACAAAAGCCGTTTCTAATGGATACTTTCTTCGAACGTCAAATCCATGTTTCTCAAAGAACGTTGTCACGGTTTCATGGGCAAAATGTTCTTCGAATTTCAGTTCCGGCTTTGCCCATAGTTTGTTGCTCAGTTCGTGAAGTTCGCCAGATAAATTGTCGATAGCCGAACACGCTTTTTCTGATAGTTCTTTCGCCAAGCAGTCGTTAATAGTCTTTTGTTTTTTTCTGAAGGCCATCGGGCATAGTGTTCAAAATGCTTAAATTATTAAATTGATCATCACAAATTTAATCTAAACTTTAGGCGGATTTCTGTTCGGACTTCTGATGTATATATGACATAAGAGCAAAGGTTCGTGACTTTGTTGCGTCACTGCGTCATTGATCGTGAGTAGACAGTCAGACAGATTTAAGCCTGGTTCACATTGATCGGCGATGTTCTACGATCCATTGTCTGTGAGCAACGAAGAAGAAAATGCACAAAACATTTTATGCATCAATGACCACCGACAATGGGCATCGCCGATGTTTACGATCAATGTGAACCAGGCTTAAGAGTGATTTTAAGCTACGTTCACACGCTGCGATTTGTCGGGCCGATTTTGGTAAATAATCGATGCTCCTTCTTCCACATTTAGCGATTTAAATGTTCAATTGAAGCTGTCCGCTCTCTCGTCTGTTCATATTATAGTTTTCTGCGTGCGAAAAGTTTTCAACAGTTACTGTAGTGACGCGAGTACTGACGACAGGTTATTTACATACAGCGAGCAAAATCGGGCCCGACAAATCGCAGCGTGTAAACGTACCTTAAACGTACCTTTAGACAGAGGACACGGATGTCAAAGACTCAAAGACGATGTGAAAATGGCGTGTTGTCAGTGTCGGATTATCTAAGGGGCAAACGGGGGCATTTGGCATTTGCCCTAGATTTCCACCGGCCCAAAAACTGAAACAAATAAAGAATAATTTATTGTTTTCCTTCAAAAGTTTATATAATGTGATCATCGAAGTGTTTTGTACGTTCTGTAATGTAATCTTCGCACGCACGTCACAGGAGGGGATATCAAATTCCATTAAAGAATATCCTATTGTAACATTGTTTAATACACACTGTAACTCTGTAGTGTCTTAGAAAATAGTGTTTATTCAATTATTCTTTTCATTATTCCTAGTTGCTGGTACCTCGTCGCGCACGTCCACCCGCCATAAGTTCCATCACACCGTGTCTACACCCACCACCCAGGGTATGTTTTGGTGGCAAATAAAATAGAAAATTGAGAAATAAAGTGATATTTAATTAATACAGATAAGGGAGCGGTCATTATTTATGGTGGGGGTGGCACCGAAGAGAAATGTTTTTCTTGCCAAAAATTCTGCTGACCCAACGATTAAAAAGTAAAATATTTGATTACCCAACCTCAAATATCAATTAAAAAAGAAATACCCACCCCTGGTCAAAAACATTACAAAAAGATACCATTCAGTTGTCACACTAGTCCCTTACCACTTCTGTGACATAGTTTGATAACGGATTGTGAAATTTTCCGCAGTCCAAAGTGTCACGTTGTCTGCACATGTACTTTCTTTGGAGACACCATTTGTCTCCCAACAAATCGGAAAATGATCAAGATATAGTGACTCTGATTGATTCACATATTGTATTGACATATGACTATATTGACATTGCTTTTTAGTCTCCAATATTTTAGTGAGTTATGCTTTGGAAATGACAATAAATTTTTATTACCCAACCCTTGAGTTGTTTTGTTTTTCATTTACCCAACCTTTTACTCACTCAAAATTTTGTTTACCCAACCATTTTCTCTTCGGTGCCACCCCCAACCATAAATAATGACCGCTCCCTAAGTGTATTTGATAGTGCATTTAGCTTTTGGTGTTTAGCCTGCGCGCATTATATCAGGCTATTGGTGTTTGGCGTGGGAGGGGAGCATGCGCAATAGTCTTACAAATTTCCAAAACATTTACCAATGTACTGTATAACCCTGTATTTGGTCAAGTTTGCAACAGTTCAAACATAATTAATATGGCAAGTGAGCAAAAAAAACAAAAAACAAACGACAGCCTGGCAAAAGAACTATCAGAAAAAGCGTGTTCGGCTATCGACAATTTATCTGGCGAACTTCACGAACTGAGCAACAAACTATGGGCAAATCCGGAACTGAAATTCGAAGAACATTTTGCCCATGAAACCGTGACAGCGTTCTTTGAGAAACATGGATTTGACGTGCGAAAAAAGTATCCATTAGAAACGGCTTTTGTCGCCTCGAACAAGACAACGCAGCAAGGCAACGGGCCATGTGTGGCAGTACTATGTGAATATGATGCATTACCAAAAATTGGTCATGCTTGTGGTCATAATTTAATAGCTGAGGCCGGGGCAGCCGCCGCAATAGGTATAAATGTATTTGAATAGGGGTAAAATACATATATTTTTGAAAGCAATTCTTATTAAAGAGTAATATCCAAAAATTAGCACCAACCAAATGTCTTCCATGTTCATGTAAAGTGCTCATGCTGGCCCTGAATCAACCCCTGCCCCCATCATCCCCCCCCCCCATGCCTGACTGGAAAGTTTGGAAATTGCACAAGCAACTGGCATATACAATACACCCTTCCATATGAACATGACTTAATTCTGAATTTTAGTATAAATTGTATCCTAGGTATTAAAGCTGCACTTGACCATAATGCAACTGGTAACTTGGGACATCTTGTTGTCATGGGAACACCTGCAGAAGAAGGTGGTGGTGGTAAAATCCTCATGCTTGATGCAGGCTGCTTTGATAATGTTGATTTTAGCATGATGGTCCATCCAACACCATACGATGCTCTGTATGCACCATATCTTGCAAACCAGAAAGTATTTGTGACATTTAAGGGCAGAGCTGCACACGCCGCTGCATTTCCATGGGAGGGTAAGAATGCCTTGGACGCGGCAGTCCTGAGTTACAATGCGATCAGCATGTTACGACAACAGATGAAACCAACATGGAGAGCTCATGGTGTTTTTACCGATGGTGGAACTGTACCAGGGATAATTCCTGAAACATCTCAGCTGCATTATTTTTTCCGATGTCCAACATTAAAAGATTTGGAAGTGTTGGTAGAAAAAGCGGATCACTGCTTTAGAGGTGCTGCTGAAGCCACAGGTGAGTGACATGATTATGTTGAGTCAAGACAAAGTATAGACTTTCTGTGATTTTAATGTTTTGTTTGCCAAAAATACATCTGATTGCTTTATTTTTATCATGTGATTGCTTTATATTTGGACTATAAAGCACATATATTTTTTTCAACCAAAACTATTTTAATTTAATTAAACTACTAACTTTGGAACGGACCTTCACGCAAAATGTTGAAGTTTTTGTTGTATTCTTGAGTTATTTTGACCCCACATTCAAGTTTTAAAATTTGTTTTATTTATCTTTTTATATTTCTTTAGGATGTACTGTTGATATAAACTGGTATGGTTACGGTGAAAGTCAAAAACCTTATGTCGATGTAGTTAACAATCCAGTTCTAACTGACCTCTATATAAAGCATGCCGAGTCCATGGGAGTTAAATTCCCACCAAAGACTCTCCAAGAAACTTTCATGATGGGCTCGACCGACATGGGCAATGTCTCTCATGCTGTCCCCGCAATCCACCCAGTTTACAAGATTGCAAGCATTGCAGGAAACCACACACATGAATTCACCGCGGCAACAGGTGGCACAGAAGCACAGCACCCTACCCTTGTTGCAGCGAAGTCTATGGCAATGACCACCATTGATATTCTATGTAAACCAGAACTGTTAGAGAAAATGAAGAAAACATTTAGAGAACCATAGTTATGTGCACTGGACATAACTTTATAATGAATAGGGCAGGTAGGACCTGCCTCACAGTCTACACTGAATGAACGATATGACACAAACTGAATTAGAAAAATTAAGATTTGATAGGACGGCGCACAGTGGTGATGACAGATAGGACCTAAAAGTGATGTAGTCTGTTTGACGCATTTATTTAGTAAAGATGACATAGCCATAGGACTGATCACTCAGTGATGACATTGGAAGTTCAAGATTTTCATGTCTGTCATCTCCCAAATCAGAAATAGATTAGCTCTTTCATATAAAATTATAATTCTGTATTTGATTGTTTCAAAATTCCATTTATTTTTTTAATTTTAATAAAATGATAACTTTTGTATAAATGGGCGTACTCTGTACCGTACCGGTGTCACAGGAGATTCACCCCCCAGGAGATTCGCCCCCCCCCCTCTCAAAAGGGGGGCGATATTCCTAGGATATTCGCCCCCCCCGGGGCGAATCTCCTAGGAATATCGCCCCCCTGGGGGGCGAATCTCCTAGGAATATCGCCCCCCTTTAGGAATTTCGCCCCCCCCCCATATAAATTTTGAATTTTTGATCTAAAAACAAAACGATTGCAAGTCGAAAAGATTTATTGTGTCATTTATTTATTTATTACAAGGGGATAAAATTACATACACATTTTAGGCTTCTTAGCAGCTGGTGGTGTGCACAGTCTGCACAACCACTCATTTGAGATACTTGACTAGTGTCATATTCTACACATCTAAAATGGAACCATTGTCCACAGAGATCGCATAAAATCATGTTGTCGTATTCTTCTGGCAGTTTACATTCACATAACATATTATATACACACGAAGGAGCGAAATTTTTGGGGGGTGGGCGAAAATCCTGGGACACCGGTGTCACAGGAGATTCCCCCCTCTCAAAAGGGGGGCGATATTCCTAGGATATTCGCCCCCCCCCCGGGGCGAATCTCCTAGGAATATCGCCCCCCCTTTAGGAATTTCGCCCCCCCCCCATATAGATTTTGAATTTTTTATCTAAAAACAAAACGATTGCAAGTTGAAAAGATTTGTGTGATTTATTTATTTATTTCATTGAGATACTTGACTAGTGTGATATTCTACACATCTAAAGTGGAACCATTGCCGACAGAGGTCGCATAAAATCATGTTGTCGTATTCTTCTGGTAGTTTACATTCACATAACATATTATAAAAACAATCGCTTGCAAATTTTATCAATAACAGTGTTAACAATAGCCGCCACAGTAATCACTTGCTAACAATAAACTATAGGATTAATAAAAAATCTATGGAATGTGTTGGGAAGCGTATTGACTATTGTCCGTTGAATCGTCAACTTTCCGTGTCAGTGATGTAATCTTGATTCTTGACTTCCGCAAAGAAAATTGCATTATGTATGTGGTGTGGTTTATTCAAATAATTTCATGATACTTTGATTTTATTAGTGCATGCCTTAAACATTTGAGAATGTAACTCTGCAAAACTAAAAGCTTTCTTGTCTTTTTTGAAACGTATATTATTGGATTATTGCCTATTGGCAAGTTCTACCCTTCACTTAATTCTGAGATTTACAAACTATATTGAAATAATGCAAGTAAAAAATAGTGACAAACCATACATTTTCCGATAACGACAAAACGTGGATGCAAAACAATACCAATAATTACAATAACCACCACGGTGATTACTTTCTAACAATGAGTTTAAGGATTAACTCCGATCTGAAAATGCAAAATATGCATGCTGTGCTGTGAAGCGTCATAAGTCATATTGAGTATTGATCTACTGACTACTGTAACTGTGCAAAGCCCTTTAGATACATGTAATTGTAAATTTGTATTCTTACATGCAGGGCTTGAAATAACGTTCCCAAAGTTCCCGATCATGGTAATCGGCAGTCGTGACTTTCCATGCTTTTTTCAGGTTGGAAACCGAAACCCTGCTTTTCCGCCGATCATAAGCAATTCCTTGCCGATCATTGATCGGTGATCGGTTGTTATTTCAAGCTCTGTCTTAGCAATTTTGAATTGATACTGATTTCAAATGATTAAAGCCATGTAATAATTATCCCATGCAACTGTTAGGAAGGGCGAAATTTTGAACGGAGGACGAAAA